ACGGGTATTTATATGTATGGTATTCAGCTTTGTTCGGGTATTTTCCCACGTCATTTAAAATGCTTTTAAAGCACAACTTTAATGATGTGGGAAAATACCCGAACAAAGCTGAATACCATACATACATACATACACACAAAATTAATTTTTTAAATATTAAATTTATATTTAATATAAAAAACATTTTTATATTAAACATATTATCTTTAAAAAAAATGTATTAGTGGTCCTCGGGATTGAAAAGTATGAATTTGGTGGTCTCTGAGGTCCAAAAGGTTGGCGACCCCTGATCTGCAACATACAGTATAAAACTGCAACAGCCACCACATAGAACAGACAGAAGACTAGCAGAATGCATCCATGAAATCATATAGTATTCAGAAGACAAGATGAAAGTTATTTAATTTCACAATTAAAGACTCGTCAGACTTAACCATGGTTTCAAGTGGGAAACCATGATAATCTTAGATCAGGGACGTCAAACTCGATTTCATTTAGGGTAGCACCAGGGTTGTGTTTGACTTGGGGAGGTGGCCAGGTGGGCATGACCATCTTGACAGTGTGGCTTAAAAAAACCTTGCAGGATGGAGTGGGCTTCCCATTTTGACACTCCACCCCCACTGTTGCCTCCATGCCATTGCCTTCCGCACCACTCTCCACTCCACAAAATGGGAAGTCCTGGCTGCCACTATAGCCAAATTGCTCATTCGGTGTTTGGGTTGGAGCAACCCACTGCCACTGTCCTTTGACAAGCCCCCTCAATTCCATATTAGTGCTGTCCTGCCCATCACTGTCCCCCTGACAGCCTGTTCACTTTCCACCCACCCAGCTCTCCACCTAGCACCCACAGTGAGTTGTCCCTGCAACTAATTTCCAGTGTTGAGATGTCCTGCAACAAGACGGAAGCAGGAGGTTGGCAGAGGGGACTTGGCAGTGGCGAAAAGGCCTTCCACACCTGGCTGCGCCAAGCTAGTGGTGTCAAGTCATCCTAAAGCTCCTAGAACCTGGGCAAGCTGATAGTTACCCTGTGTCGCACAAAAGTATCAAATTCCATAATGCTGAATCCAAGAGAGCCATCTCCATATAAGATCCACACCTGTTTACAATTTTAAAAAAAAGATGGAAGAGTTAGCAGCTAGAAAAAGAAGTTGTAAAACGGACCTAGCCTCTTATTTGCTTTTCCATTACTTAGTTTCCACACTTATGCTTCCCTCTACAATATACTAACCTCTGAGTCTGGCCTGCAGAGCTTGGCTCCTAGGGCAAATCCACCCCCAACTCCCAAAGTTCCAAAAGCCCCTACAATGAGATGAAACAAAGAAACAATGATTAAAGAAACTGCACAGGTTATGTGTACCGATTCTCAAACAGTAATTCCTTGACTTTCTAAAAAGAAGTGCATTTCATCTGTTTATGATTGCTTACTATACACTGTATTTTTTCAGCTTCGTTAATATCTGTCATGATTGGTATGTTACACAGAACACAGAAAGGAAGGATACACATAGATTAAAACAAATCAACAAACTAATTCATGCCTCTATAACAGGACAAGATACATACTGGAGTTAATTTATTGTACTAGAAACCTAGCCTGTTTTACCCACAGTTTAGTTAAGCCATAAATTAATTACTAATTAAGGAAATATGCTTCCTGACCTGGTAAAAATATGATGAAAGATATGGAGAAGAATGCTAGAATTGTAGAATTGTTTAAGATAGTTGAAAAACGTTTATTTTATACTACTCACTATTTATTATTTTTTACTACTACTATTCAGACTAAAAATAATTTGAGGACTGATTCTTAATTGACACTTTAGTGCAGGGGTTGCCAACCTTTTGGACCTCAGGGACCACCAAACTCATAATTTTAAATCCCGTGGATCACTAATATGAATTTTGACTGATGGTGGCTTGCTGACATTTTCCCAGAGTCTCTGCAGAAAGCAGCAGAGACCCTGGGAAAATCCCCCCAAAAAGTCTGCAGGAAAATTCCCCACCCTGTTTTCCTGCCGATCAATCATTCTTTATTTGGGATCACAGGATACTGTCTCTAGCTTCATTCTCAGGGGAGGGAGGGAGGGTGGGAGAAGGAAAGGGAAAGGGGGGGAAGAGAGAGAGAGAGAGAGAGACTTTTGGCTTCATGCAAGGAAAGCAGCAGAAGCAGCAAAAATCTTTCTTTCTCTCCTCCAAACTCCGCCAGAGATGAGTCTTTGTGAGACTTGTCATGCCAGCGCAGCCTCTTGGAACAGGATGACTTGCAGGGTCCAAAAGACTTAATTTCTGGCGGAGTTTGGGGGACAGAAAGGAAGACTTTTGCTGATTTCCTTGCGTGCAGCCAAAAGCAGAAGAAGAAAGAAGTGGAAAGAAGCAGCCCGGTGGCCAGGCGAGGCATGTGGGGCAAGTTCCCCCCTCCGCTCTTTCCCTCCACCCCTCACTATCGTGCTGTTTGCAATGCAAGCGATGCAAGCCTTGTGTTCCAGTGGGCCACGTGGGCAGCGCAGCCTTGTGTTCCCACGCAGCCTGGATTAATTGCTTTGGGGATGCCATTTCTCTGCAGCCCACCAAATTTTTTTTGCAGACCACCAGTGGTCCATGACTGACTGATTGACGACCACTGCTTTAGTGTAATGGTTTTGCTCTCTTTTGTGTGGTCTATTTCTTTGATCCATGTGGTAATGAAGCAAAGATGAAGAGCCCAAACTTCATCTGATACTACCTGGGTGATAAACACTGCTGTGGGTTGGGAGATTTTACTGAGTGAGAATTGGATGCATGTTTGGAAACCAAAAATATATTTTGGATATTTTCGAGGATGGAGCATGTCTCCTGTTTCAAAAGCAGCTGAGTACAAAGTGGAAGGCTGTGTAATGAAGTATGACCCCATTCTACATCATGAAAAACAATTAAGTCTAGACTACTGCTTTAGTTCATACCTGGATCCAGCCAAGATAGTGGTCCCCTTGGCTTTATAATATAGGCAGCACTTGCTACAAAATCACCTCCATCTGCAACTAGTAGACTGTGTTCAGGAAGCAAGTAATCTACATGATGCAAGAGCTTCAGTGGGTTAAGATACTGTTCTGTCCGTTCTTCTGCCTTCTCTCTGGAGATCACAAACTGATTTGAGACATACCAGTAGATAGACATACTTTTGATATAGCAAAGTATTATTTAAGAGTAAAGCAAATAAGAAGTTTCTGCAAGCCTTGCACTACATATGGACACATACAAAAAGTACCATTTATTTATTACCTGTTTGTTTTCTCCTTCCTCTGATCAGCCTCCTTCAAACTTATTACCCAATCCTGGGGACATGAATAGCCTTTCAGCTTTTGGTTTAAGCACACAAGGAACAATGCAGCATCTCCTGTGTAAAACATAATTGAAGGTGGTATGCACCCTCTTCCAATGATCCTCTTTCTCTGATCACCGGTATTAACAATGCATGCATTAAGCATCATCTTTTTATTGTTGTCTTTTCTCACTATATCAAATCCCTAGGAAATGTTGCTCACATCTCTCTTATTGTTGCCTTGAACAAGCTCCTCACCTTTTATGGCTATATTTGGTATCCAGTGAAAATATGCATTTTTAAACAGTTGCTCCTGATTCCTGTTAACAGCAATGATTTTGCTGTGCTTACTCAAGGTGCGTCCATATGACAGGCGAAAATCACAGACGGTGCCTGAAAAGGAAAAAGAAGATATAAACAGAAGACAATTGTTAGATAATCATCATTACTATCAAAAATATCTGCTAACCTCCCAATTTCCCAAGATTGGCACAATGTTTTTCTGAAAGTCCGCTTCAGCAAAAGAAAAAAACCTAGTACAAAACTCTCAACTGAGCTACCTGCTAGAATAACCAGATCTGCCTCCTTGAGAGCTTCACGCCGATTTTGACGAATGTGCAATGGACTGTTCTTTCCCAGCATGCCCCGAGCCATGCCTCCTAGGAAACATGGAATCCCAAGTTCTTCTAAAGCTTCTCTGTAAGAATATGCAGTGGGAGGAAAAGTTCAGATATCTTTGTTATTTCTTCTCACTTCTGTCTACACATCTGAACACATGCTCATCACAGATCCTGTAGTTCCTCTTTCCCATCAATGGATTAATTCTATTGAGCAAGGATATTGTGCCTCAGAGTCAGTGGCAGCCTAATAGTAGATCAATATTATATTATAAAAGGAATCTCAGTCTAGGGCAGGCAGCATATCTTACCTAAGCTTGTTTGCTGGGATTGGAGGGAGGGTCACTTGACTGCCAAGCAGTATGACTGGTTTCCTAGCCCTGCTGATCAGCTCCACGCACTGTTGCACCTGCACAGAAGTATGCCCAGGAAAAATTGTTCACAGCGAAAGTCAATGATTTAGAGCAGCAACCTAACTACTATTAATTGTTTATGTGGATACAGTGATGCATAATGGGGGCAATGAAAGCGATAGTAATCCAAGGCTTTACTGATAAAAATGGAAATTATATTTTCTGCCTTAAGTTCATTTCCTTTTATTAGTTTGCAATCTCAACGAAGACATTAAATGCTGGAACGATAAGAAAGCAGAAGCAAAACAAAATATTAACAAATAATGTTTCCAATATCCCCTCTTTGACTTTGATGAGTTTGACTGGAATCTGAAAATATTTACTTAAAAAAGAAGTCTCACCTGTGCCTCTGTGGCTTTTGGCATGCTCACTGGTAGAGGTGAAAGGTCTTGTGCTTCCCAAGCTCCAGCAAACAGGTTTCTCAAATAATTGCGCAGAAACCTAGTAGACAACAGAGAACTGAAACAAAACCACTGCCACTATTATGGCTGCATGGTACAAGAAAATGTGGCCAAAACCACAGAAACTGAAGACTGTGATTTTTTTATTGCCCTAATTTGTAATGCTTACAAACTACCAAAAATGCTCAAGAACTTAATAACAGTAGATAAACTAGTACAATCCTCCTTGGTTGGTATATGGAACTGGGTCAACAAATTGCTGAATCTCATGACTTAAAGATGCTGGGGGCCGGGGTAGAGAAAGAGGCACCATAAAAAAATCCTGAAAGCTGCTCAATCGATTGTCATATTATATAGACATCTTGTCAGAGTTTGCAACAATCCAACAAGTACACTAGTAAATAATTCAGCAGGATTCATTTATAGAAGAAAGTTCTTTATATACAATATAAAGTATGATGCATGTATACATGCAGCAGAAGCCAGAATCAGAACTCAAAATCCAGAAGTCATAATCACAGAAGACACACACACACACACACACACACACACACACACACACACACACGTCAAGCTAAGCCACACCCAGGTTCCGAGCTGTCTGTCATGGCTCACAATAGATCTTGTTTTTTAGTCACCAAACAGTTCCCATTGGCTATCCCAGCTCACAATTTCTTACACGCTGACACTCCTGCCTTTATAGACATAAAACCAAATAACTTAATATTCTTACCATGTTGCACTCCACCCAATGGCTTGGCCATTATATCTGCCAGACTGTCTTCTGAAGAACAGTGAAGCAAGCTAATCAAATTACATTTGATGGCTTCTCTTATATTAAAGATATTCTCTTTAATATCTACACACTTGCTTCTATTTTTTACTCTGTCACCTGTTGCCATTTTAATGCAAGCAGCATTATCCCCAAACATTGTTACAGCTTCATTTACTTTTATGTTTAAATCCTTTAACAATTGCTCAGATAGAGCAATAAATTGCTGCTGCCAACTAAGAAACAGAATCTGTTGTGAGCCATGACAGACAGCTCGGAGCCTGGGCATGGCTTAGCTTGACTGATCTGTATATATAAGACTTGGTTTGTCCTTGCAATCTTTGCTTGTGATTATGACTTCTGGATTCTGAGTTCTGGTTCTGGCTTCTGCTGCATAGGTATTGTATACATGCATCATACTTTATATTATATTGCATATGTATATAAAGAACTTTCTTCTATAAATGAATCCTGCTGAATTATTTACAAACCAACTCATAAACACACACACACACACCAGCCAAGCTAAACCACGCCCAGGCTCCGAGCTATCTGACATGGCTCACACCAGATCCTGTTTCTTAGTCACCAAACAGTTCCCCTTGGCTATCTTGTTGTTATGGCTATCCCAGCTCATAATTTCTTACACACTGACACATCTACCTGTCATTGACTGGTTTACTTTTATTTTTGGAGTGAGGCTGCTTCATCTGTTGGTAATTATTCTATCACATGCAACATTTGGAGCATAAATTGAATACAATACAAAGAATTTGAATGAAAGGACAAAGCAAAAGAAGTACAACCGATAAATATATGTTTGAAATGAGAAAGATTTTGATACTCCCGCTTTATAAATTTCTATTGAAAGCACCAGTTGATATGGTTTTCCATATGTGTGAAGAGAAGCAATGAGGGCCAATATTCATGGAAAATAGTTGGTATTTCAAACCAAATACCAAACATATCATGCTAAAGAAAACTTCAGCAGCAACATGAAAAATGCCAAGCATCTATGAAGCAAAGAATTAACTGCCCAGTAAATGCACACATATATACATAAAAAGAGTGGTATGGTGACTCAGACACTAGGTTTATATGCTGGAAAGCTGGCAGCCCAGGTTCAAGACCCAAGTGTCACGACAGGGTGAGCGCCTGTCCTCACCTCTGCTCTTAGTAATCTGAAAGCATGCAAATGCAATAGATAAATAGATAGCACCTTGGTGGGAAGATAACAGCGCTCTGTGATGTCATGCTGGCCACATGATCTTTGGACAGCAGTGGCTCAATGACTTTTATGAGCATCATCCCCTATGGTCAGCAATGACTAGCAGAGTAAAATCCACAGGGACGTCTTTATCTTTTTACTTATATAGATAAAAAGTAGGTATATACTTATATACATACATATTCCATCCTGCCCGGCTTGGTCCTCAGAGGCATTGGGCATGTTATGCCAACATACTCAGTTCCATTCACTCCTTCCCATCCCCACTCCATCCCCATTCATTTATTTATCTTTTGACAAGCTCAGGAAGTCAGGGTAGAGAAGGCAGCTCCCTTGCTGGGCCATGTGGCACAATGAAAAAGAAGAAATTTGATCACTTTGCTTCTGTTGTAATCCTTTCCTATCCAGCCAGCATAAACTATAACAATTTCTCTTTAGCTCCACCAGCACTAGTTTTATGGTAGTGGTGCTAAAAAGAAATTGTGCCTATTTTGGTTCTTTGCAAGCCTTTATTCCCCAGCCAGCTTACAGGTGAAACTCGAAAAATTAGAATATCACGCAAAAGTTCATTTATTTCAGTAATGCAACTTAAAAGGTGAAACTAATATATGAGATAGACTCATTACATGCAAAGCAAGATAGTTCAAGCCGTGATTTGTCATAATTGTGCTGATTATGGCTTACAGCTCATGAAAACCCCAAATCCACTATCTCAGAAAATTAGAATATTACGTGCAATCAATAAAACAAGGATTGTACATAGAACAATATCGGACCTCTGAAAAGTATAAGCATGCATATGTACTCAATACTTGGTTTGGGCCCCTTTTGCAGCAATTATTGCCTCAATGTAGCGTGGCATGGAAGCTATCAGCCTGTGGCACTGCTGAGGTGTTATGGAAGACCAGGATGCTTCAATAGCGGCCTTCAGCTCTTCTGCATTGTTCGGTCTCATGTCTCTCATCTTTCTCTTGGCAACGCCCCATAGATTCTCGATGGGGTTCAGGTCAGGCGAGTTTGCTGGCCAATCAAGCACAGTAATCCCACGGTCATTGAAGCAGGTTTTGGTGCTTTTGGCAGTATGGGCAGGTGCCAAGTCCTGCTGGAAAATGAAGTCAACATCCCCATAAAGCTTGTCTGCAGAAGGAAGCATGAAGTGCTCGAAAATCTCCTGGTATATAGCTGTGTTGACCCTGGACTTAATGAAGCACAGTGGACCAACACCAGCAGATGACATGGCTCCCCAAATCAACAGACTGTGGAAACTTCACACTGGACTTCAAGCATCTTGCAGTGTGTGCCTCTCCATTCTTCCTCCAGACTCTGGTCCTTGGTTTCCAAATGAGATGCAAAAGTTGCTCTCATCAGAAAGCAGGACTTTGGACCACTTGGACCAACAGACCAGTTCTGTTTTTCTTTAGCCCAGGTAAGACGCTTCTGACGTTGTTTGTTCTTCAAGAGCGGCCTGACAAGAGGAATACGACATTTGAAGCCCGTGTCCAGGATCCGTCTGTGTGTGTTGGCTCTTGATGCACTGACTCCAGCCTCAGTCCACTCTTTGTGAAAGTCCCCAACACTTTTGAATGGCCTTTTCCTGACAATCCTCTCCAGGCTGCGGTCATCCCTGCTGCTTGTGCACCTTTTTCTTCCACACTTTTCCCTTCCACATAACTTTCTATTAATGTGCTTTGATACAGCACTTTGGGAACATCCAACTTCTTTTCCAATTACCTTTTGAGCTTTCCCTCCTTATGGAGGGTGTCAATGATGGTTTTCTGCACAACTTTCAGGTCAGCAGTCTTTCCCATTATTGTGATTCCTACTGAACCAGACTGAGAGACCATTTAAAGGCTCAGGAACCCTTTGCAGGTGTTATGGTTTAATTAGCTGATTAGACTGGGACACTTTCAGCCTGGAATATTGAACCTTTTCACAGTATTCTAATTTTCTGAGATTGTGGATTTGGGGTTCTCATGAGCTGTAAGCCATAATCATCACAATTATGGCAAATCACGGCTTGAACTCTCTTGCTGTGCATGTAATGAGTCTATCTCATATATTAGTTTCACCTTTTAAGTTGCATTACTGAAATAAATGAACTTTTGCACGATATTCCAATTTTTCGAGTTTCACCTGTACTAGAATTCAACATAACACAAACACAAGCAATAGAACATAATGACACCAGAGTCTTGGATTTTAAAAGAGCTGCTTTTAATAAATTCAGAGAGAATTTGGGAAAGATTCCATGGATGAAAATCCTAAAGGGGAAAACAACTCAAGAATCTTGGGAAACTCTGAAAAGTACAATCATAGAAGTCCAGACTAGCACAATACCACCGAGAAAGAAAAACAAGAAATCCAAGAAGAAACCAGTATGGCTGCACAAAGATCTCTCTGGCAAATTGAAAGAAAAAAAGGACAAGTAGAAAAAATGGAAAGAAGGACATACAACTAAGGCAGAATATCAGCATATAGCCAGAATCTGCAAAGACAAAGACTTGCAACAAAAGTCAAAGATAATAAAAAAAGTTTCTTCCAACATATAAATAACGTGAAAAAAATCAAGGAAACAGTTGGTCCACTAAAGAGAGAAGATGGCAAGGAAGTAACAGGCAACAGAGAGAAAGCAGAACTGCTTAACTCATTCTTTGCATCGGTCTTCATGCAAAAAGAAACTATAGCTCAACCCACCCAAAACATAACTCTAAAAGACAGAAATAAAAGTTAAAATAAGCAAAAAAATAGTAAGAGAACACCTGTCTGATCTTGATGAACACAAATCACCAGGGCCTGATGGATTACATCCCAGAGTTTTAAAGGAGCTGGCAGGTGTTATCTCAGAACCACTGCACCATATCTTTCAAAAATCCTGGAGTTTTCGAGTTTTACCTTTAAATCAGTAGTGATTTACGAGGGGTGGGATTCAAAAATCCCAGCACCTGGTTCACTGCCCAGTTGCTGGGTGGGCGTGGCCATGGTTGGCGTGGCCTACTGGAACTTCTGGGAGGGATGTTTTCCACCCACCCAAGGGTCTGGA